ACTATGCAATTGGTTTCTAAAGCTATAACTAATTGTCCAATTATAAATCTAAACATAGATATAGACATTGAAGAATAACACTATCAATTTAAATGTTTCTTTTTTCAGATTAGCCTCTCTAATCTTCTGTTATTAAGAAGAATCCTTTCTACAATCTAATGTAATCACAATTGCAATTATTTAATGAATTTTTGTACTTAATGTCTGTCTTCTCTGCTGAACTGTAAGCATCAACAGGACAGGGAACATGTGGTCTTGTTTATCAATTTGAACTTTATGCCTCGCCATAGTTTCTTGCAGTTATTGGAAACTCAGTGACTGATTTTGTTTTCTCTCTTTGCTTTACATTCAATTACTTCTCATCTGGTGGTATCTATTCATGCAACCTGCATTTTAAAACGTAAGGACTATAGCTATTTTGCTCCTCCTACCCAACAAGTTACCATTCCACCATACAACTTCTTTAACATGCAAGCAATTCTAAAATAAACTGCCCAAGACACAGTGCCTGCTCTGCCTCTTCTACAGCCTTTCAGTCTGAGATTTCTAATTCTTTTTCTTAGTAGCATGTTCTTCCAGCCTCCACATTTGTGTCTTTGATAAAATTATCGCCTGTAGGAGGTAAGCCATTAGTTAACCTAAAAAAAAAAAGAAAGAAAGTATATATTTACATGTACACATAATGCTGTAGATAAAACAAGTACAAAATAATAATGAAAAAGCCATCAAATAATATAAGATACCAACACAAGATCATTTAAGAAACCTAGACCTCCAAACTTCCTAGGAAGGATTACTTATGGAGAAAATCAATCAAGTTGGTTAAATGAATAAATGTCCTATATATGTAATAAGAGGGTAGGGAGACATATAATGTTCTATCCCAGGGGAATATCATATGCAAAGAAAGAGACAGCATTAGAAACACAGTCCTCCTGGTTCTTTCCTCCACCAAGAGTCCATAAGTAAATTCGCTTAGCTAAAGTTTAAATAAAATGGAATGGTAAGGAAAAGTTTATATAAAACTGTGATGCCATTGTAGATGTTAAAATGTGGAGCATAATATTTGAAGGAGGTGATTTCAATTCTGGTTTTTATTGTGAACCACAATGAGGAAGGCCTGGAAAGGAGATGAGACAGGAAATTCTTGATTCAAGCAGGTACAAGTGAAAAGGCCTTAGGGGAAGCTACAAACACAGAAAAGAAAAACAGAGCTTTAGGAAAGTTTTTCCCTTCTTAAAATGAATTCATTTATAAACTGTTGCTTTCTAAATCATATTTAAATTTCTGTTTCTGATTTCAAGCTCCTGCTGGCCTTTCCTTCTTTCTCATAAGCCACCAGCAATTCCCTTCTTCCCAACAGAAACACCAGCTAATTCCTTTTCTTATCACTTTGCCTCTCTTTTCAGCTTCTTTACTTCATGTATTATTCAACTTACACATTATTATATATGTAATTATTCAACTTATTCTATATTTATATATTATTCAGCTTTGTTATTATTCAACTTATTTCAACTTGATCTTTTTCTGTATTATTCTTCCTGCTTTGGGGACAATAGATTATGAAAAGCATGACATTTGTTTGTCTTCACGGAAAGGTCACTTAAAACCATCTCTCCTATATATTCATTCCTCAAACATTTTTTTCCTGTAGCACACGAGAGCATTAAAAATAGAAATGATATCATTTTACAGTTTGTCATGAGGTCTATCAGACTGCAGACATTGAAAATAAAATTAAAATAAAAACTGTACTAGTTTGATTCATGATTAAAATGTAATAGCTAGGAACTCTACCCTTACTTCTCCCAGATAATTGACCTTTTTTTTTTTATTCCCTCTTCAGTCCAGAAAGGTTTTTTTTCCCCCTTTGAGAGTAGTTTTACTCTGTGTCCTTCTAAAGACTTAGCATAGTGTCATGTACATGGTGTGTACTAGTATATCTTTATTGATTAATGGGCCCCAAATTAATTTCATTAATGGGAAAACAAATGCAGTTACTTTCTAATACTACCATTTTTTAATCTGTTTTTAAAGAAAATCATTTCAGCATGGCCAGTGGACCTTCCCATTCTTATTTTTACCACTGTAAGTTATTTTTGTTGCTTAATGAAAAGACAGTTCTTAGTCCCTGTTACAACTTGAAGAGTAAATTTTATTTTATTTCTTCTGTATTGGCCTCTATAATTCCTCTGTGTGTTCCGAACATGAAAGTGCATGCCTAAAAGAGAACCAGAAACATAAATGGCCCTATAATAACTACTTAATAAAGCCAAGTGTATCATTTTGACTAAGAAAATGCCAAGGCTTTACAATAGTCTTGATTGATCTTCTCCAGAAATGATATAACGAGAATGACAGTTATTCTGCTTCCCAAGCTCTGGTCATATTTAATTGTTTTTAAATGATGTACAGTAAATGCTTTATTATTTGCACTAGGGTCTTTAGAAACTGATTTACACAGACAGGTTAATTTTATTTGAAGTTTATATTTCAAATAAAGCACAAGAAAAGCATAACAGTGTCATAGAAAGTTAACCAGTTTCTTTTTCTAAGAGTTAATTTTAAATTAGGGAGGGAAAATTATTGTATCATCTACAAAGTGAGGGAATAGTGTTTTCTCTAACAATCTACATCTATGATTAAAATCCATCAGCTCAAAACCTATATTTTGTAGTATTAACTTTTAAAATCACATAACTCCTAAGTGAAATTAAGTATTATTTTTGGCACTTTGAAGGTAACTTAGCTGAAATGAACTTCTTTTGTTTATTTTTCAAATGGTTTTAACACTTTCTCTTTTTTGTTAACGGCATTAATTGCTATGGTTTCATTAACAATGTCTTTTCTTCGTTTTTTTCTTTTTGAGAAACGTAAGGAAATGGCTCGCTGACTCATCAAAGTTCCGATAGATTATTGATAGCCAGTTAGTCACAAATTGTAGCTTATAGCTACTAATGTACCTGTCATTATTTTGTAGACTGAGATGTCTACTGTCTTATAATAGCATTACCATTTTCTAATTGCTATAAACAAATATTTAATTTTCTTGGAAATTTACCAGAGATTAGGTAATTTTTAAAATGATAAAACATAATGATGACTAGTTTCTTGTATTAAGAACACCATGAAGCCTTTTTTATTCATGTAAAAAATTCTTAATTAAACATGCACATTAATATATATTTTATGTGTGATAAAATTTGGGGTTTTTTTCCTATGAATAAAAATTTCCTTTCTTTAGAGATATAAACAAATATTTATGGATGAAATGATATGATGCTTAGGATTTGCTTTAAAGTAATAGAGGGGGAGGAAATATAGATGCGATAAAGTGAAATAAGATTGGCTGTGAGTTGATAATTGATGATGCTAGGTGATGAGTACATGAGCATCCATTATTATTCCACTTGTGTATATATTTAAATTTTGGGTAATAAAAATATAAATTATGTAGCTTATATGATTTTTTGGACATTTTACTATACATTTATAAAAATTAACCTTACTCAAGGTGTTAAAAACAGGGTGCATGGTACAATCTTTTGGTCACCCAAGGTGATGACCTTCTACATCAGTAATTAATTGAATCAGGTTAATTCTGCTTCACGATCTACTGCATTGGCTCTGTCTCCACTCTAACTTTAAGCTCTCATGATCTATCTTTGGGATGCATTAAATATTTGTGGAATGAATGAATGGTTGAATGAATGCAACCCTAATTACTTTCTCCTATGATAGCATGTTTTACACTGTTTTGTAATTTCTTTTTACTTGTCCATATGGCCTCACTAGATTTTAAGCTTTATAGAGACTGAAGCTATATCTAGTTCACTATTGTGTCCCCAGCAACTAGTACAGTGTCTGGCATAAATTAGGCCTTCAATAAATATTTATTGAATGAATATATTAATTAATCTATCTTCTTAAGTGGTCTCCATGATTGCTGTCTCCATTTTGGCTAATTCATCCTCCATGCAGTTTCCGGAGGGATTGCTCTAAACTGTAAATGTGATCATAGTTCACCCATCAATAGCATTCCCCCATCAGAGTAAAATTTCAAACATGTATGTATACACAAAATCCATGGTGTTTTGTGATGTGGGTCCTGCCGGCCGCTCCCTTCCTTCCTTTATGTCTGTTCTTCACCACTCCAAAGACTGTTTGTACTGGCGTATTTGATGGCCCCCTTCTTTGGAATATTTTCTGTCTCTGGGACTGTCACCCCCATCCACATTTTAAGCACGACATCATTGGGGAAACCTCCCTTAACCTGTGCAGTGAGGCTGGAGAAGTAGAAGCAAATACCACACTGCCTCTGCTCTCCATACACACACGTCCTCCCTTTTGACGATCGAGCACCATTTTCTTACCATTTTTCTCTTCACTGGCAGTGAGTATTCCTACAGTAGCAATTAGTTTTTATTTTTCTTAGCATCCTCACTTTATTGGCAAAGAGGAACCCAATAAATAGTTGCAGAATGAGAAAATTAAGGAATGTATTTTGTTTTGCTAAACTAGTAATGAATTTTCCATAAAAGATGGTGAATCAATGATATACTTGCCAGTGTACCCAAAGGTTGTTTCTTACATTTGCACCAGGTTTTCCTGTATTTTTTTCCACAGTGTGCTCAGTAGGTCAAAAGACAAACCCCTGAATTGTATAAATCTAATAATGAAATACTGAGGTGAAAAAGCCCTTGATGTGAACCAAGGGGCCCACGGAAACATGATACTTAGTTTTTCAGAAGTTCAAGATTGATTTAGTAGTAGGAATCATTCTGATGGTAATTTTAGTGAAGCAATGGAGATGGTTTCTGACACATATTTCAAAGCTCCAGCATAGGTGAATATATTGAATACAATATATATTTTGTAAAAGATCCAAAGTCACAAAAGTAACAAAATGTTGGAAAATGTAATCTCTTATTATGTTAATGTGAAACGTATAGCTTAAGAAAGTCTTAAAGCTTGGGTTTTCCGCTCTTCCTTTGCAGATATGTCTTCTCCGACTACTATGAAGAAGCCTGAAAAGCCATTGTTCAGCTCTACATCTCCACAGGATTCTTCCCCAAGGTTGAGCACTTTCCCCCAGCACCATCATCCCGGAATTCCTGGAGTTGCACACAGTGGTGAGGAGTTTCAAGCATAGAGGAGAAGCCTCCCTCTTGTTTGTAAAGCCCAAACCCTCAGGGATGGAGCAAAAGTGTTTAGTTTTAGCTATGGTGACCGTATTTTCTCAACCAACAGAGGGAGGGTCTGATCACATGTATATTTTTTATCAGTATGTGAGAAAAGATTTTCAAAACCATATAGTTAAATAACATGTATGTATATATTTTTAAATTACCTTCTTTGGAAAAATTACAATCACAAGAAATTCGAAAATATGGGGCACATAGTTGTCTTAACTATAGCTTCAGGGTTGGTCCTAATTCTATGTATTTCACCAAGAAAAGGATGTAATTTCACTATTTCACTGAGTTTTGAGTATTTACCAGAGGCATTCAGATATATAGATACTACTTCTGTGTATGTTATTTTCTGTACAAAAGTCAATGTTTGACTACTTATTTGGGAGTGAAATTAATCAGAAAAAGTAAAAGATGTACTTTTCTTTGACAATGATTCCACATACACAAATCCTTTCTGTGGGCGAATACACTTGCTATTATGTCTAGTATCTTCATTTAAATAGCAAAAAGAATCCAATATTTCGCATTTGCACCTTAAGGAAAATTTGATATTAAATAATCATTCAAAACTTAAAAATGAGGTATAAATGATAAGCAATATAAATAATAAGCAATATCCTTCAAGGGTTTGTGTACAGAGGTTGAGCTGAGCTGAACTGAGATTAAGAACATGTCGACACAAAATGAAAAGATGCCCAGTTTAATTTAGTGTTTGTATTTCCTTAAACTATACTTCCAAAAGTATATACTTCTTAAATGAGTGATATTTTCATAAGGAGTTTTAAGAAATATATAATTGTTCTCTCCAATGCATCCCTTTGATGGAGGATGCTCAAACTTCAGTGTAATAAGCTATATGAGGCACTTGTTTAAAATGTACTTTCTGGTGCCTCACCCCTGGAGGTCCTCATCTAGTAGATCTGTGGTTAGGCCCAGGAATCTGCATTGTAACAAGAATCCAGAAGATTCTGAGTGCCCTGGACATTCTTTGGGGGAAGATAAGTAATATCCCTTAAAAATTTTTTTTTCACATAATTACAAAATTGGAGATGAATTATTCCAGATGATTTTCATTTATAGGTCATGGAAAGAATTTATTGTTTTCTTATTGTTTGCTTCATTGTCTCAAAAACACTAAACATTTATCATATGTGATTTCCCATGGTTTGGATCTAAATATTAAATAGAAACAGATATTTAATCTTCACTTCTACACATACTGGTTGGTACTCTTAATTTGTACTTATGTGATTGTTTCCCTCAACATTATAGAGATAATGATCATGCAATTATAGTGTCTCCCCATTTTTCAAACTTAATGATATTTCAGAAACTAAACAATAAATTGTGGGCATACTAATGTTAAAAAGTTACCGTACAATTAAACATTGCCCCATTGCATATGTTTTATATATTATTTCCCTTTATAAAATATGTGATTTATGGGTAAGTTAATATGCCTGTATGAAAGTATAAATTCACATTTCTGTGGGTTTTATTCTTGATCTTATCTTAATAGCTTTTAAGTTACGTGTAGTAAAAGTTTGAGTAGGAAGAAAAATAGTTCAAGAGTAGAGCTTTGTTTGGTTATGAAAGGAACATTTTTATCAGAAGAAAGAGTTTCCAGGCTCTGTGTTCAAATGTTCATAAGCATTTGTACAGTGATCACTTAGGACACTATTGTTTATTAGTTATCAGCTTCTACTCTAACCAACTACCAGCTAGGATGTATAGAGAAATTATTTATTTGAAATTGGATTACACTTCTATTTTGAATTTTGGTAGAAAATTGTGGGTCCCCAGCTCTCTAATTAATGATGCAACTTGGTCTGTCTGGACTCACAAGACAAGGACTTTCCAATCAAAGAATGTGTTTTGATGGGGAATAACTTTGCTTAATGTTTTATGAAACATTGGCTTAACCTGTGAAAGAGAAACCTTTTTTTTACTCATTCATAGATCTTGAAAGCAAGATTGATAGTGCCCTAGAGTGGGTTGTATCTGCGTGTGCTTAGCTTTACTGGCATTGAGAATAAAAGACTAACTGCTATTTTAGGAGAGTTTAGTTATATTGTGGGGGAAAAAATGAACAGCTTTCGGTATAGGTTCACAGCTTTCTTTAGGATCAGAATGGAGCATTAAGGAAAACAGCTAACGAGTCGATCTTTCCTTCTCTGTCTTCTGCAGTCATCTCAACTCGAACTCCACCTCCGCCCTCACCGTTGCCATTTCCAACACAAGCTATTCTTCCTCCAGCCCCATCGAGCTACTTTTCTCATCCAACAATCAGATATCCTCCCCACCTGAATCCTCAGGATACTCTGAAGAACTATGTACCTTCTTATGACCCATCCAGTCCGCAGACCAGCCAGGTAAAAATGAGAGCGAAAATAAGATTAGAGCCTAAGGGAGATGGAGCAGGTCTAACTCTCAGACACGGAGCGTACGCAGACAGTATGTCTGGCAGAACATCAAGCTTTTGAAATCCATCTTCAGGAAGTTTCTTGGTGATTCAATAAGTTTTTATGTAAAGGTGGCTGAATGACAGGTAGGAAGTGTGTTGCCCCAAAGGGGCACATTTGTGAAGATGTTTTTGGTTTGATGTGTTTGGGTTTTTATTGACTGAAGAGAAAGTTTATGCAGAAAGTACATTGACAAAAAAGCTCTGAGCTGGAGTTCACACCTCTGAAATACCTGGCTTGACACAGAGACAAAGTGCTTATTTCAGGCAGGAGCAAGGTATGCGCTAAAATAAACACACACAAAAGAACTTACAGTTGTATTTATAGGCTAACTATTAGGTATTAAAATAAGCTTTGGTAATGTAAACATTCTCAGTGTTTGATGACTACTTGAATATTCTTTGCACAGACATGACTATGTTGAATAATGAGTGACATTACCAGAAGTATCTTTTTTTTTTTTTGTAAACGTTGTGCAGTGGTTTTAGGGATTCATTGTATAAGTGTAGTGACTCATGTGTCTTTTTCACTCTCTAAACATGTGGTTTCTTCTATGGAGAGGTCGCTTCATAGGGGTTTGATATAAGAGGATTTTCCACAATCAAGTAGACAGTCTTTGTGCCAAAGCTGAGTCTATCGATAATCGTAAACATCCAAACTCTAGAATGTAATTCTGATCTTATGGTCTGGTATTTGCTTTACTGCTTTTCCTCCAAGACTCCTGATTATACCTGTTAATATTCTGAGGGATTTTTGTAAACATTCTGTTACTAATGCTGTTCAGCGACTAAAATGCCAGTAAATAGTATATGCATATTAATTTAGAATTAACCAGGAGAGATCGGGGGAAAAAACCCCCAAAAACCCTTCAGTCTTAATTTAAGTGTTAAAATGAATAAACTAGTCCTTTCTGAAGGTTTTATTTTGAATAACAACATGTCTAGCTCCATTTGGGTTGCTTACCTGTAGTTTTAGCTCCATTGACTAATAATACTAAGTACACCATTCTTAAACCTTGAATTTGAAGTTAAACTATTTGTATTTTAGAAGAAAATGTCCAAATGGTGTAGCACTTTAATGACTATAATACCACTTACCAAGTAAAACAGTGGGATCTCAGTACATCAGTTTAGAAATAAAATTTGCTGTCAGAGCATGGATTCAAGTCTCAAGTCCATAGAGCTTTCTGCTAGACTCAGCTGGGAACAGTGCACACAAGGTCTGATTTTAATTTGTGTAGAATTTCCATGAATAACAAAGTCTAATTAAGACATCCATTAAAAGTCCTTAACGTTAATTCAGTGTGGAAAATCTTAGAGTTCCATTGGATTTTTTTTTTAACTGATGTCTTAATTAGGCACTGTTAGGGGAAAAATTATGCAAATTAAAATCAGGCCCTCAGTGTTACGCATTTCTTTAATTATTCAGTGCTTGTTTTACGTATATTTTAATTTCTTTATAAGTGAAGAGGGCATATTAGGTGATAATCTGCCTATATTGTTCTCAGTTTTTCTTCATATTTTCAAGGTGAAGATCCAGCTTCTAAGTGAAGCATCTTACTCTCATCTCAATTAAAAAAAAAATCCCCTCTCAGGATTTTGATTAATAGGAGCAATGAACTAAGTAGGATAATCCTTTCCTAATGCTGTTCAACATCATCTTCAGATCAGATTTCTTTCTTTCCATATCTATGGTACAAAAGTTCATCTATTAACAGCATTAAACGAAAAGCTTTATAGTGTGGCTTCATCTGTTTGAACTAGAAGAAAACGGAAAAGAAATAACCCGCTCATTCTTGTGACCTTGAGTTTCAGAAAAATTGACTGTGTTGGCTTGGGAATTCTTCCTTTGTTGCTTTTATTATTATTTTTAAATGAAACATCTGTTGTTTCATGTCGATTCAATTCCAGTAGACACAGCTTGCAGAATATGCAAGGTAATAATATTCTGTCACAGCATTTCTTGACATTATTGTCATTCTTCTTCTGTCCCATGCTCTCAGGTAGGTACTGTCAAACTGTTTTGGGGAACACAGTATACAGAAATGCTTTACCACTACTGAGTGTACCACCAATGATAAAATGAGACTGGTCCTTTTTCTTGAATGAGAGGCATAAAGCAGTCTTTTGTAATGTTCACATAGTCCAAAGTTGATGGTGTACTTTAGAAACAAACTTTATCCTCTTGAAAGGAAAAATGGGTCTTTATAGTAAACTGCAGAGTTTTTGGAGGAACATTACATCTGCTTTAATTTTTAACTCCGCCTCAAAACCATTTGCATTTCAGAACCGGACTCTTGATATTCACCTTTTTTTGCTCTAAAAATGGGGAAAACATAAGCACTCGTTGACCTGTTGTCAACTGTTCCTTCCTAATATCCTCCAGCACTGCACTGATTTTGATTGTTAAGTCAAGCCATTGAGATGCCTTCTCCTCCCCATAGCAATTTGGAGATTAATTATATTGCTGCTGCACCAATTAGAGTGAGACAGTCATGCTATTTAATGGACTATTTTAAACAAAATTAGTTTAAAGATATTACTCTCATAGGCTTCCGTAGAGGGAAACTCTAGTCAATTTTCCTGACATAAAGTTAAATACTTAAAATTACTCATGATGAATAGTCAGGATATTCAAGAAGTCCATTTTCTTTATAGAGTAAATAACGTGTCCTCTGAGGAACCCAACCAAAGCCTTAGTTCATGTCTCTAAGTTACAGTATTTAAGTGTTATTAGCTGTTCCTCTTTTTCTCTAAAGCAATGTCTGCTTGTAACTCCTGTGCAGGTATTTAGATAAATATTCTGCTCCATTGCTTCTTTGCTTTTAGCAGTGCTGATTATAAAGACTAAATATTCGTGGAGAATACCCTCATAGCCAATTGTTATGTACACCATGCAGCGGAGAATTCCAACATGAGTGTTAATTAAAAATAGCATTCTCTGTCTAGAAAAATACGTTCCAGTATTTCTTCAAACAATGTGCCCTTAGGATTTTGTCTCCTACCACGGATACTATTTTTGTACCCAGAGCTAAAACACAGATAGTAATATCTTCTCTATCATCGCCCAGGGGATTTTTCTCAGTTAATTTCCACAAACGTCAACAATAAATGTTTTGTGTAACTCTCCACGCCCAACAATGCAAGAGTAACTCATATAACAGAGTATATTTGATTGCCCTCTGCTTGACTACAGCACGTTTTAATTTACTTTGGAAATCTTTTATTTGTAGGTGGAAGGTCAGACTTAGTTCAGCATTTTATATTATATTGTGTGAATCTGAAGTTCTAAATGCTTTAAATATTATTCTATCTGCTTATATTAGTAAATCGTCAAAAGTTGAGTGGAGCTCCTAGGATCTAAATTGCCTCATGCGTGTGTCTGAGTGTACCTGTGTGTGAGTGAGAGTAGAGGTTTTGTGTGCAGAATGGGCCTTGAGTATAAATGATGGAAATTATGGTTTGATGTGTTTGATTGCCTAGATATTCTTGTCCCCTTGTGTCAGTGAAATCATCGTTTAGGTGAAAACTGTTTTCTGAAAGCCCAAGCTGACTCATGGTAGACCATGAAGAGCAGGAAAGAAACACTGGTTCTAATTCTCACTTGCTCAGCCGGGACTTCCATTTTAGCTTTGGGCTAAGCATTTAAGTCTGCACTTGAGCTTTCTGGCCTCCTAAATGAAAGGATCAGTTCTACCTGGCTCTGGGGTGTTGTAAAGAAGAGTGAACCTATATAAAGTGTGGTGAAGGCGAAGACTTTCTTGGAAATGCTGCTGCTTTGTATGACGACTAACCATGGGTTGACCTCTCTGACTCAGACCTGAGAGGGGCTGTGTGGCGGTGACACACCGTGTGCAGGGTCCATCTGGCCGTGTGTGCTAAGTGGAGTTGTTGGACAAGATGACTGCCTTTTGGATTGCTTCACCCGGCATTCTGTTTTTGTTTTGTAGCCTAACAGCAGTGGTCAAGTAGTAGGGAAAGTGCCTGGCCATTTCACTCCTGTCTTGGCACCCTCTCCCCATCCCAGTGCAGTGCGACCTGTGACCCTGACCATGACAGATACTAAACCCATCACTACATCCACTGAAGGTGAGGCAGCTTCACCTACAGCAACCAGTAAGTATTTCTGTAGGAAATGAGAAATGTCCATCAAAGGCACCATTGGATATCTGATCCAAGGTGGAAAACACGGCAATTTGTCCAGCTACCCAACCAGATGGAGATTTCTCATTTATGTGGAACTGGCAGGCATGTATGTGGCCTGGCTCTCACAGGCTCTCTCTTATCAAATTCAATCAGTGCATCATATTTGAAAAGGGAGAAGCTTAATTGTTTGAGTAAACAGCTATAACAAAAATCATAAGTCATGCCTGCTTGTTCAAGGTATACATCGAAAAATGCACTGAATATTCAACATAACACAGCGCACAAGGTTTTTATATTACCCAAAGAGAGATCAGATCATTGTTACTTAGTGGAACATTCCTATAGGAATCAGTTCCCTTCACAAGGCAGACTGAATCAGTGCCTCCTCTGTAAGATAATTGCATGTTTACATGACTGTAGGTTTTGTCATTGTGAGAAACAGTCACACAGCGGTGAAGGCAGAAGACATCTCAAAGCTAAGTATTAGGCACATGTCAGTTACCTGCACTTCCTTAAGTCTTCCACTTAAAAATTTTTTTAAAAATTATTTTGCCTATCATAGTACATCAGATACTATGCTTTTGATCATATGGCCATAACACTTTAAATGTCAAGATTTCGCTAGTAAACTTACACATCACATACCAACAACTCAAATGGGTTCCTTCTTCGTTTAGAATACTCATAAGTACACAGGGAACTAGTACACAGTTTTTTCATTTGGCTTCATCCAAACTACCAGCTCCCTAGAACTGGATCTGGTGTGCACAGATTGGTAGAGTTGAATAAATAAAGTCTCAGGCCAGAGGAATTAGCATGCTCTTCGTCAATTACACATACCATACCTTAAATTCAGAGCGTCTGTTTTCTTACCTAGAGCGAGAAAACCCCCATGGTCTGGAGATTCCTATGTGAACTTACACAGCCAGTCAGAACCACCACTGGCTCTTTCTTTTTCTGCCATTAGAAAGATGCTCTTTTTTTGTGTGTGTGTGTGGCTTCTGAAAACCTAGGAGGGAACCCTACAAGAAAAAAAAAACAATACTTTGAGTGTACAGTGAATTCAGCATTTCTTACTCAAAATTCATGAGGCCTCAGAGACTAAGACCATAGAGGCTTGTAATTCTCATCAGTAGTCATTAAATGCTTAATAAATGGATCGTCGATAGAGGGTCCTACACTAATGAACACTGTCTTGAATGGATGAGACTTAGTCAAGGAAAACTAAAAATTATTTTGCTCTAAAGATTAGCTATGTACGTTACAGTCACTAAAATACTACATCCAGATTTTGGAAGTGGATGTCTTGGCATCTTTGAAGAAGCAAGTCAGCAATTTAAATAAAGGAAAACAGCAAAATGATCACAGCTGACTTATGGGAGTAGAGTCAGCCTGCTTGCCTGCCAATGAATTGTTCTTACATGCACATACACATTGATCAAAAAGGGACCTGACCTAACAGAATTACAAAATATTCAAAAGATGGCTGCCTCAGTTCATTTTTCCACTCTTGAAGTAAAGAAATATAGTGAGTCATTTTTCTTTTCTAGAAGCACACTCGTAGCTCCAGCTTCATAGGCACAACTGACAATGAGAAATTGGTCACTGAATTGGTAAGTCAGTACAGTGAAAGATAACACAGAGGCCATGGAAACCTTTTTCTCATACTTGAAAAGAGTCAGTAGCACAGGCTTGGTGCCCGGTCTGTAAGAGTGAGGCTCTTCTCAAGCTGTCCATGCTGTGCATTGAATTCCAGAAGCCTGGAGATTGAGTAGGGGCCATTGGTTGCATATGGTAGCCCTTGCATGGGCCCTTTATTCAGGAATAATTAAAAGGTGAATTGTGAGCATCTTCGCTGTCTTAAAAAGGTGACCTAAGAAAGCCTCACAGTAGATCAAGTTCTGCAGTCCTTCAAATGAACATGGCAGAATTAATTTATTGGTTTTTAAAAAGCCTTTAAAAAATTAATGTCCTGATTCCTCATTAATCTGATGGTTTTAAACCAAACATTTTAGTTTTTTTTTCAGACGTATAAATAGAACATAAATGGTAAAAATGTAGTTCTGTTTATTTCAGCATGGAGCAATGGGATTGCTTAGGGCTGAGAAGACACATTAGTTGTGAAAACAAACAAAATTCTTTAGGAATAGGGAGATGTTTTTAAAAAAAATTCGCTCTGTACCAAAAAGCACCTGTACAAAGAATCCTTGCAAGTCGAGACTAATAATTTAAAGAGTATTCACTGCATCTTTTTCCTTACCTGGCAGCCATGTTTTCTAAAAGGTGCCATCAACTCCCTGGGCCATTTACAAGAAACTGACCTTTTGTGCTTATGGAAAACATTGTTTTTTTTCCCCAAAAAACATTTCTATCCAACTTAAGGTCATTTTCACATTAAATAAAATACTGAGCTAATTTGTTCTCTATGGTACAATAAAAGTAGGCTTCTCCTTCATGTTAGTAACATCAGATTTTCTTTAACAAGACTTAAGTAAGACATTTTCATCCTGCATCATCAAGCACATTTGTTTAAAGCCAATCATTGAAAGCTTTCACTTTTGCCTGACAGACTTTCAGTCTGCTTTTACATTTAGAACCACTGACCATCATTGATTATTCCATTATTAGACAATTAATATCTGCTAAAAAGGCACACCTAGGGAAAAGAGCCCTTCTTTTTGGCCAGTCTTTGGTACTCCTGCAAGACTAACTGGAGCACGTAAGTGTGAGATACCCCCACCAAATGATGGGATATGATTTACCAGATCGATTTCTGGGGAGGGGGATAGCTAGTTGATTTGCGGTCAACTACCATTTTTTTGGTGTCACTCAGCATTCACTCAGAAAAAAGAGAAGAAAAATAGACACACTTTTTTTTTTTTTTTTGGTTGCAAGTCCCACATCTCTGGGTTTCTTTTACATGGACAGGGTGTTCATTCTGATAGTTCACAATTTTTATCTTTGTTTTTGTTCTTCCTTAATCAGCCTACACAGCCTCAGGCACATCTCAAGCCAATCGATATGTGGGACTAAGTCCAAGAGACCCATCCTTCCTACATCAGCAACAGGTGGGCAAGTTTCACCCAGGTGTAATGGTGTAGCCGCGCTTTCGCACTGGTGCTTTTCTCCATGCTGCCTCTCAGATCTGGACTCAGAACGGGGCTCACGGGGCTTCTGAGAAAAACTTTGATTATTTCATTTTCCAAAATATTTTCTTATTTATCCTTTGTTTCTTGCCTCTCTGAACAGGGTTTCTCAAATTGGCGCAAGGCCTTTTCTGTCTCTTGCATATATCGATCACATTCGTGATCAACAGTATTTCAGCCAAAGAGTATTTTTCTCAGTCTTACTGGCTTTTGAGAACTGACTAGCCTATAGCTTCCAAAGACAAAAAATTGAGAACTGATTTAAAAGCCAATTAGAATAAAAGCAGTACACAATTTGTGTTTTTGAGCTCTTTCATATTTTCCAGATGTTTTACTCTCCATTTTGGTATTTCAGTCCAGGCAGATGAGTTATGAAGCTAAAATCTCAGGCGACACATCATTCCTGTTTTAATAGGTTTAAATTGGTTTACTGATTTCAGATGTGATAAAACACTTTTTTTGTTGTTCTGCTTTCTTACATCATTTATGTTTCAAGTAGCATTTTAAATTTCACATCTCATTAATGCTGTAAATTTAATGCAAATGAAGTGTTTACCCAGACTGTGAAAATATACAGCCAGGATTAATGGTGGCTTATAAACAAATTAGCCACAGTCAAAAGCATGGACCATACCAATACAGAAATCCCACGATCCTAGTTACAGGATGACAGAAATAATTCTAACTACTTCAGAATTTAAATATATTTTATGATGCATATGTTTGCTGTGCTCAAGTTTTGATAGCAGAGCAGTTTGAAATTAGCGGTGTGCAAAATATAGGGAGAAATAGTCTATAATGAATGAGAAAGAGCTAGTATTAACTAACTTGCTCTTCTTTTATAATCTATGTTGTATGTGCTTATGTGTGAGTGTTTACATACTCGTATGTAGTAAGCCTACATAGGTACTCAGGCCAGCTTCTTTTGTTCTAGACTTATCCACCTAGTTTATGCTTATTGTTCCAATCTTAACTGTGCTGCGTGTGGAATTCCTGAATCCTGCCCAGTTGCAGACCAAGGTGGCAGACTGCATATATTAAAGGTCACCCCATGCAGAGTTCAGAGAAAAATCATAAAGATGATCGCTTATTCAAGATACTTGACGTTTTGCCAGGTTTCAAAAAAGCAAAACAAAACAAAACAAAAGAGTGAAAACTAACTGAAAACATCTGTACACAGTTATGAAAATACCAAGTAATAATTAGTGGTTTTGCCAGTCATTGGCTTTTCAACATAATTCTCTGGAATGTTGCTTTTTTCACCTCTAAAATTGCTATAATATGAAATGTGTTATAATTACTATAATATGGTTCTATTTGACAAATGTATATGTTCATTGTGTTTTTTAAAATATGCAGGATTTATAGTTTTAGAAACTTGTTCTTTTAAAAATTGTTCCACGTATTTTCATAAATATTTTTGTCATGGGTTTTGCATTATTCTTTATGACACATCTCTAATTTCCAGTTAATTTTTAATTCATAGAAACATGCCTCCTTTATTTAAACCTTTAGCCCCAAACAGAATCAGAATATTATACCCAGTTCCATGTATTTAGACATAATCTCCCCTCCCCCGCCCTAATCTATGGAAGCTTTAATTTTTTTTATTTATCATTTATGACTAACATTAGAGCCCCATGTAATTATCCCACAAATTCATTATATAAAAGTTACTTCTGTCACATATCTAATGCTTAATCAAGGAAACTTAGCAAGCATCATGAAAACGTGAGTCTTAATGTAGAGTTCTGAGCATATTTCAGTTGAAAAATATGTACACATGTATATGAATTGCAGAAATTTTTTCATCAAGGACCACCACTTGCTTTTTAAGTGGACAGTGTCAAGTAGGACCCCTTACAATATAAATATGATTTGTTTCATCAAATGCAGTTTATACTTATGGAATATATTATGTGTGTTGATCCTTAGAAGAAGAAAACCTATATAACTTCCTAACTAAAACCGTAATGTTGAATTTTAAATGCCATGCAGAAAGATCATTGGTCCTCTCTATAGTGAAAGAGTCCAACTTTTTGAATTGAAGAGGCCCAATACGCCAAATTCATAATGAGCTACAATTTTGAGGCATGCAGAAAATGAATGTGTATGCCTATCATACTATATATGTATATTACTAAACCAAGGCTCCAGTTAAAAAACTTGTTTTATCCTTTCAAATGTTAAAAGAATCATAGAGATGAAGTTTTATGTTTACTACCCAGGAACAGAGGGACAGAAATAGTCTAAATGACTTCAGTAGAGTAAAGGTTATTCTTTTCTACAGCAGAAATGAGATTGATTTACTATGTCCTTTCATTACTTTACAAAGATTTAAAAGAGACCACTCTTCTAGCAGCAGGTTCTAAATGCATTTGGTTTAAAGTACTCAATGATAAATGAAAAGGAAAATCAAGGGGTACATGAAATAAAGGTAATCAATCATTTTATATTACCTAGGAGAAATTCAAAATTAGAAAGGCAATGGTTTTAGTCTGAGAGGGTTCTTTTAAACATCCCCCATAGCCCTTAATATACATGACCTCTTAAGAATAAATATTGTCACCAGGTACATTCTTCAGTTCATTGGCGGCTGCTTTATAAAGATTTATCCTTTTAGGTTATGAAAAGTATTGATGTGCATTGCTGAGTGCTATTTTTCCTTAGAAAAGAACTTTAATACACCCTACATAAATTAGAGTTAACAATAAATTTTAAATTGTTGAATAATTTTGACTATCATAAAAATCTTTCCACAAAAATGACACTAAAGCAGAGCTTTCAATATAGTAATTTCCAACACACAAGGATACTGGCACTCTGAAACTCAGATGGAAAAATGTTAAAATTAACCGTGTGTTCCACTTGTAAGAGTAATATGTTCGTATTTGCAAATCTGAATACTAAAAGTATATGCTACTGTACCCATTAACTTGGTACCCACACAGTTGTTAATAATCATACATCTCCATGTTCCTTTTTATAATGGTTATTACTGATTAAAACTGGTTGCTGACTGCCTTGAAATACTAGTTTATTTCCTGACACAGGAATTTCACCTGTCATTTGCGATATCTCAAATACGATATTTCATTTGAGTCTAAAAAATAAAATCACATGATCACGAAGACTATTTCAAAAAGATTCATATAAACCAGTTAATAATTTGCCATTGAAAACAATTCTCTCTAATTAGCCATAATAATCAGCTCGTGTCAGCTGATCAGGACTTTAAAAATTTCCTTTATCTCCTAACACAATCTTGAGTATTATTCAAGGTCTGGAACTAGACTGTCTTTGGGACAATTATCTTAGTGAATGCACCCGCTATTGGCATGGGGGACATGAAAATCAGAACCTCAATTGGAGCTTCAGTCTTCTTTAATTTTTCTGTTGGAAGATGGTGTGGTGGCTTGAAGAACTCGTGGATCCTGCTTTGGCAAACAGAACGCTTTAGTCTGCTGAGAAATGTCTTTTTATGATTTGGAACTTTTTCAGAAGTGTTAATGACCTCCTCTCTGGCATAACTTCACAGAGGTTTAGTAAAATGCAGTGTTTCCTTTCCTCCTTACGCCTCATGCACACCCTGTGCACACTCATTGTGACAGGCAGTGAAGGAACTACATGTCCCCAGTTTTGTCTCTCTGAGAAAAGGGGAGCTATAGAGCAGAGTGATGGGTGTTGCTCAGAAAATACAGAAATTATTTTATAATCCAGTCTCACAATTTTAGTATAAATGGCAGATAGGAGACAACTGACTCGAATCAGCACCAGTTCCTTATCTGGCCAACCTCAATAGTGAATTTGCTAAATTGAAGTACTTCTTTCTTTGCTCTTATAGAAAGTTTGATAATCTAAGAGGGTCTAGTTAACTTTATATCACCATTTTATTTGAGTGTAAGATCGTAATAAAAATATAAATCCCTACTATTATATACTAACACAACATATAAAAAAGAAAACCCTTATTACAAGTTGGAAATACAAGTGTGTAGCTAAGTAAACTTCTTGTTTGGAAGTAAAACATCGCTATTTGAACCAGCTATTGAAAGGCATATTAACCTTTGATGTTTGAGTTGAGATTGTAGATGGAACAAATGGGAGATGACTTTTGCCTTCCCTATGTGAGACAATAAAGTTAAGTAAGCCCTAGTTTATAAGATACAAGGTTTAGCTTCATAATCTCAAAACTATAATTTCCTGACTTTATATACTACTATTATTATTAGAACTAATGAATGAATGGCCTGATCAACTCAGGTCGTCGCATTACTGATCACAATTGCATGGATTTGATTGGTGCCTGAGCTTCAGCATGTCACATCTCTTGCATGACTATATAATGCTACTGTTTCAGTTTTAATTACTGGACTACGTTATATCAAAATATTTTTAAACACTTTTCTTGATATAATTTTGAAACTAGAATTTGAAAGTACTTTTCATTATTCTGAAAATTTCTGTTACACCAAGTGTCCTTTTAAAGAAATTGCCTCTGTAGGGTTTTTTTAAATTAAGATATTCATTGAAATCTCGTTAGAATATTTGTCCTGGCAAATGAAATGGCAAAGTCAAAGCTAGGTACATTAAAACCACTGGAAAGGTAGTTTTTTTTATTAGAGGCAAGCAATTGAAATGACACAAGTGGACTATCAACAAACTTTTCAATGAAGCCAGGAAGCAGGCTATCAACACTTGTGCTGTTCTTATTGTGTCTGTTATCATAATTGACAGCTTGACGCAAAACCCTATCATATGACTCCTGGGTAGGTATGTAAGTGGATAAGAGGTCACTTTTCACATATGCTGGTTGGAAAGGAAACACATTTAAAGGAAGTTTCAAGTCAAAATAATGGCTATGCAAATGTTTAGCTTTTAGACTAGTTCTTAAATTAAAAAACAAACAAAAAAACAACCTTCCATTCGTTTATATAGTAACTTATTTTTACTGATTATCAAGTAGTTGTAATTAATGAAAAAATAAAATTGTGTTTCCTGAAACCTTAAATTTCAACCAACAAAGTCACAAGGGAAAAAAATTATCTTCTTTACTGAAAATATTAACTTGAAAAGATCTGAGTTGAATCAGGGAAGTAGAGGAAATTTTGAAGGTTATAATTATGGACATTGTAGCTTTGAATTTTCTTGTGCTGTGCATGAAGGGTAGGGTAGGAAAAGAACAATGACAGGCAAACTGGTGTCCTGGGTGAGAACCAGGGATTAGGAGTCAGGAGGTTAGACACGAACAAAACATGTCTAACCTTGGATAAGTGCCTAAACCTTGCTGTCCTGTATCCTTATTTTGGAAAGGAAAATGAAGAGGTTGAACTATCCAATCTTTTAGTTCCACTGAAACCTTAAACTTTACAAGGTAAAGTAGCCTCTATCTAAAAAACAACAACAAAAAATCTTTTCATTTTCTAATACTTAAATGATTTATGGTCAGTAATGTTTAATTAGTTCATGGACTATGCATACCCATTCCACTTCTACCATGCTAATTAAATTAAACATCAAGAAGCATGGGTTTCAGAAATTGACATCAGAAGTAACTATAAGGTACCAGGGTAATCTTAAATATTGTTTTTTTAAAAATATGTGTTATAGGTCCCACATTGAACATAATTTTATCCTGACCATTTTGTTTGGTTAGTAGGGCTACATCCTATTCGTTCAGAGGCCATTTTATTTGCTCCGTGGCAAATAATAATAGTAATAAAATAGAATTCTACTAATGTAAGAGTTAAGAGGAAGTATGAATATTGGAGTGTTAATCTTTTTTTAAGTAATACCCCCCCCCAAAAAGAAAGCAAACACCTCTACCTCTAAAAATCTGTTCCCTTGAGGCTATCTAGAGAAATGAAGAAATCTAAGAGAACATAAAACACATCTTTCAAGATATTCCCTTGAGGTAAACTTAAAAAAAAACAACATTAAAAAAAAGTGAAAAGGTAAAATGCCTGTGTTGATTATGCTGTTTACAGTTTAATGATTTATTGGTTCAATTGAGAGCCATTGTCATCATGAGGGACTGTTAGTGCATCAGACTGTGCTGAGTCTAGCAAAGTAGAACGTTTTGCTTACCTTCTCTCTTTTGTTCCAAAGCTAATTGCTAAACATTTAACCAAAAACCCCCACCCTGTTTATAACAATGGAGGGCCCTCATTTGAATAAAGGAACTTATTCTGAAGTCACGAGCAATATTGCTTCTTGATGGTCATCAGCTACCTGCATGAATATTTGAGTGCAGTGTAGGACAGGATAGTGATCCAAATCCTAGGTGTTTCCGCTTGTGCAGTTTTTTAAAGGAACTGCATGGTTCCCCATCCCTGTTTTTCTGAAACAATCTCATTCAAGTAGGGAGAGGAACAAGATTCTCACTCCAGAGACTTTAGGGAACTCCATTCATCCTAAGACCATATGCATTGAAATCTTGATCGCTTCTCTCTTGGCTGTTTGGACTATTTCATTCAACCTTACCCTTTTACTCAGCTCCTTTGGAGAAGAATCTTACTTCCTTATTTCACCTTTTGTTTGTTTTTGGAATTCTGGGCATAAATTGTTTCAATATAAATTTTACCTTAATTTTCTAGACAATCTAGTTTCATATTAGTATGTACATATAAATTAAAGAGTTAAAATGACTTGTATGAACGTGCATTTCTGGAAGGATATGCATATGATCAGGTCTGTCTATATTGTTACAAATTTAAGAATTGCTGATCACCTACACATACAAACACAAAAGTTGAACAGACTGAATTTCTAAGCTAATCTGTACCTGGTGTTTTAAGTTTGATTGCTATTAGGGGAAAAAGTAATTTCTTAATTTTTGAGGGAAAATACTTGAAAAAAAATCACGAGTTATTGAAGTTTAAGTACTACTTAAAATTAAGGTTTTAAAATTTAATTTAAAAATAAATTGATAGCCAAATATTATAACACTGACTCACAAGACAGAAACTGAGGAATCGTCACACCAACCTCAAATAACATTGTCACCTGTTATTTTAAAGTTATTTAAAGCCTTCTGTAAAATTCTTTTTGTTAGGAATACTGTATTATACTAATATCAAAATTATTTAACATGCCCCCAAAGAAGCTTAAATAGTATTAACCTTTCATCACATAGAATTTGTTCAAAATTTGCTGAGTCAGGACTATCTTGATCAAACAAGAGTCTTAGGAATTGATTTTATTAGGAATTAGTTTCATGGACATCTTAGGTGAATAGGTGGTTTCTATTTTAATTTTTTGTTTCCCCTACTCACACTGTCACCTTTAGATTTTCACTTTATCAGGAGGTTTATTAATTCAAAGATGCTTTATGCAAAAGAAGCTTAATTAATACATTTTTAAATAAACATGAAGAGTGAGGCTCTTGTTGAAGTCACCTAGTTTAAGTAAGTTTTAACATATAAGCATATATAAACATGTGTCCTCAGAAATTTGTGAAAATGTTGATAATGCTAGCCCACAAGCTAAGAAATTAATTTAAATTACATTTTATATTTTCAGTAACTGAAAGGAAATTAATTCTATACTAATTAATATCCTGCCAATTTCTTTGACATTAAATTATTATTATATATATTCAGTGGTCATTTTGTATGTATTTAAGCATATTTTTTGTTTGGGAGAAAATATTTCTATTGTATGTATCTGAAAGATAGATGAAAATGAATGGCTGTAGTCAGGTTTAACCCCTTTGAGACTACTCTTAGGAAAGAAACGTCCAAAAATCCATTGATTTTTAAGTGTTCCACATGTGTCCGAACATAACCCACTTGATATTTTTTTGGATGGAAAACAAGTAAACAAACAAAAAATTAGCAACATGAATGACAAAATATGAGCAATTTATATATGCATTTTTCCAAGAAGACATACAGTTCCTTCAGTTGTCTGTGGGACTACAAACCAATCAAGGAGTGATATTTAGGTTTACCTGGCTTTGTGAAAGTGTCTTCTTCTGTAGTCTAATCTGACAGCCCCACAGAAACTAGCCTGAAGTTAATAATTAGCAGAATTATCATGGGCTATGCCTAAATCCATCTCTCCCTTCTTGAGAATGTTTAATTGAATCAAAGCTAGAATTTTCATTGACTAGAGCAGAATCAGTAAGAGGCCCCTAAGGTGTAATCTTTATACAAAATCAAGTTTTTTGAATTGTTTTTAGATTATTTTCATAGTACTACTTTAAAAAAAATGTATTTTGAAGCAGACAACTGGCTTACTGATACTGCAGAAAAACAATTTCAGATTGCCTCATCACATTGCATTTGTGATTAAATGATCAATTTTGAGAACCTTTAAAAAAATCTTGCCATAAAAAAATAGCTTATCATCTATTTGATTTAAAAGAATCAAGTGTGCATTTTCTTCTTTATACAAGTATTATGATCCATTTTAATATTTTTCATTCTAATTTAGTTTATAGACTTATGACTTCTTTATGACATATATCTTGAAAAGAATGTACATATCTATGAATCCATTTATCTACCTATTTATCTGTTTATCTACATTAAGGGATTTTTTCAGTTCTTTAAATTTCAAAATTACTTTTACCTGAAATATCAATATAATTAAAACGATGTATTAGAAATTTTAGGAGGCATTTTTGGATCCTCATAGACTGTTGAAAAACAAACAAAAACTATGATTCTAAAACTCCAGAATTGCTTTTAGTTGAGTAAGTAGAAATCAAGAGTCTAATAGGAAAAGTAAAGATTCTTAATAACTATTTTTTTTAGCCATAACATTATCAGAAAGGATTGAAATAACTTATCATAAGTTTAAAGGCACTTTGGCTCCAATCATCATCTTTTAGAAATTTTCACTGAAGAGCAGCAAACAAGGTTTAGTGGATTGCCAAAAGTCATCTTTTCAATGCAAGATGCAGTTAATTTGCAACATGGCTATCTAAAGATTAAAAACCATGATTTCCTAGTGTTTTTCCCCCCAAAGCCAGATAAGTTTACTTTCTTAAGCATAAAAATAAGCAATATATCTTTTCAATAAATCTGCTAGCACTGTAGGGCAGCTGTTAACCAAACAGAACTGGATAGGGTTACTTGAACAATCTCGGAAGGGCAGAGCTGATGATTCGGAGATCTGGGAAGAATTTGTTTCAGCTTGTATTCAGTGCATTCCTCACTCTATTCAGATGTGGTAAACTATTTTAAATGCCATTACTCTGAGTTAAAACAAAAGTAGAAATTCTTATCAACTCTTTCTAAACGATGCCATTTTGAATCAAACAACATTAGTAAACATCTCAAACTGAATACCTTGATGCTTCTAAATATGTCAGGGACCATGTTTACAAGGTGGGGCCTTTCTCCTCTAAACTGCATGTCTTTTATGTTTTGCAAACTGCATGCTTACAGTTATTCTTTTACTCAGTGCAGATTATTTGGTATGTTGCATTTTTAAAAAAGCTTTTTTTATTTTCTTTCTAAAATATATCTCTCTATTGAATATTAACGTTTGCTTTTATTGCAGCTCAATTTGTACTCTAATAATGTCTAATTGTTATGTTCTAAGCACTTGTTTCTCTTGTATGCTTTAATTAATATAGAGAAGCATATTGCAATTGCTTTTTCTAAAAAAGAGCCTAGGAATTTTGCTTTTCAGAGTAAGGTTTTCTTTTTCTTTTTTTTTTTTCTTTTTTTTTAAGTTGCCTCTTGGGAAAGTAAGGATAATGCCATGTACAGTACTAGTTTGCATGTGTTCATTTAAATACTAAAAACTGTAGTACTGCTCGATCCATATCTGACTGCTAGGTTTCAATTGACAGCTGAGGATTTGTGACTGGACCATGAATCAAAACGGCAGGCATTTATACCCCAGTACCAGTGAGGATACATTGGGAATTACTTGGCAAAGGTAACATTTTAATTATTTCCAACCCTACACTTACACTTAAAAATTACATGAGCTGTAGTGTTTGTTTTTAACTAGCTTTATAGAAAATATATGTTAAAAATTTAGTTGTTTTGGCTATATCATCCCTCTTCCCCTACCCTCCTCCTTTATTTCTTATGTAAATGCAACTTCAAATTAATTTGGGGCTATAACATATGCTAATTAATCATTGGAATTTCTAAGTGCTGTAAAATGTTTTAAACAATTCATAATATTTTTCTTGAAGGGGGGGATTTTACACTTAGATTTTTAGGACCTGAAATATGAAATCAGCTTTAGGGAAGATTTTCCAACTATCTGAAGATAAAGCATTGGGCTTTTATATTATACATCTTCTCTTTTCAGCTCTTTCCTGGACTGCTAACTTTAAGCCATTTACTATTCATTTATTCCCCTGTCAGAGGGGAAAAGCTAGAAGAAAAATTTCAAATGAGTCAATTTAACTGTTGTTAGCAGCGCTCATAAATTTTGGAGTGGAAAGATTGTTGGAATCAATGGCTAAAGAGGGAATTTGGTTTAAATAAAGTTTTAACTTCTGTTTGTATGTTGATGTGAATCGTTGAGAACTGACTATCTGGTAGGCTGAGAAAATTATTCTAAAAGTTCATTTTCAAAACTAGTTCTGATATTGTCTTATATATCGGTGTTAGAGAGTAAGTAGTGCTGCATCAGCTTCTTATGTATTATTTTAATAAAGAACAAGTTGTGTCAAATTGACAAATTAAATAATTAAAATTCATGGTATAATCATATGTAATAAGAGATAAAAATTTACAGATGAGAGTGAGGTAATCCCATGAGGAGTTCACCCAAAGTAGAGCCAACATAATTTCCCAGGCCTGCTGTGATTGTAATCCTCTCTTTACTGAACATGCCTCTGTGAAAAGTACATACTCAGGTATCAGTTGTCAGTGGGCTGCCTATATCCATAATGCTTGATTATGGAGTTTAAAAGAATTAAATTAATAAAATGTCCATTTTGATGCAGGTAAAAACTAAGAAAATTAGTTGGACTCTGTTTTAAAAACTTGATGAGTTTTTATTAATTCACTACCTAAAATGAATACAATATGACTTTTCCCCTTTTTACAGGTTGGTATAACATCCACTTCAAAATGTATACATTTTTACATATTTTGATTTTTTTCTTCCCCAAGACACACATAATTCCTGCATTTGGAAAAAATACAATATATACTTATAAAAAAAAGAAGATAATCTCAATGAAAGCATCTTATATAAAGTCTTAATAATTAACACTCTTCAATGAAAATATCTTATTTACAATTGTCTTAAAAATTATTTTAAAATGAATTTAATTGGATTTGATAACACTCTGTTTGGAGTTAATTTTATTAAATAAATTCCCTATATGCCATACTTTGTTAGCAAAATGGCCCATGTCTGCATACCAATTCTACCGTTTATAAGAATTGCAAATTAGATGAAGTGCACTCGTGTTTTTAAATGTGGCTATAGCTGTGTAAACTTCCAAATCTGTGGATTAGTGATTGACATTTACTTATCTAAAACAGGACAGCACCTCTAAAGTCCATTAAAGCCAAATAAGGATATAAATTATTGGAGATTTAAAATATAATTGCACCTAGTTTCTAGTAATTTTTCAAAGAAAAAATTGACATCCCAGAAAGGAAAAGGTGAGTGGACAGTGAATCACCACAGAATGCATTGTATCAGAGTGAGTTAATATGATGACTAAACTCAGTTCTTAGGAGAACATTGTTCATGTTACAATCCTCTTCTTGGTGAAAAATTGGTGTAGTAAGCCGTTTCAGGTCATAATAAGTCAGAAAAAAATTCAGAATTCATTTAGCTAAGATGTCTCTCCCCCCCCCCCAAATAGTAAGTTTTTTATTAGTAGATAATGATATGTAGAACGGCCTTAATGCTTCAAAAAGCTTTTAAAAAGTCGCTTTTGGTTTGTTTCTTCCCTTTTTATCGTGATTCAAAAGGCACATAATTGAGAATGGCAGGCATCACGTTCATGCGTTCAACAGGTACTTACTAAGTCTCTGTGGTGGGCTGTCCCAAATGTTGTGTGAGTAATACAGATGCTCACAGTTCTTAAAATCTAAGTATTACATAGTTCAGAATAAAAACACTCAAATAAGAGAGCAATTTGTTTGCTTTGTTAGCTTTCAAAAATAGGTACAAGTGGAGTCCATGTTTGATCACACAAGTAGGCCATGCCTGTGGTACAACATATTCATACTTTGTTTATGGTTTATAGTTTGTGCCCTGTGGTTATTTATGAAACTATTAATGTTTTTTTTTCCTACAAAGGATATTGAAAAAGGAAATCATAAATGTCTGTAACACTACTACTTTTACAGCAGATTAACAGACATCTAAAATCTTCAGGGCACTGCTACAGCTTTAAAATTATCTGAATACATTGAAAAAAAATGAGGAAATGTAAATATATTCAACCAGAGGATTAAGTAGTTTGCCTTTGTCATAATGGAATAAAGAAAATATCAGGTTATTTTTGCTGTGGTTGTTGCTTTTTGTTTTTCACAAAAGGCAATCCCTGGACACTTTGTAGTAGAAAAACCAAAGAAGGTGTTTTGGTTTTGCTTTGTGTTTTGGCCTCACTTTGTTTTGTTTTAATTGTGTGTTGCCATTACTTTCCTTATACAATCACTTGCCATGGTCGCCCCCTTTTCTGCTTTATACCAATCCTCCTGTAGAGATGTTTCTGTGTGAAATGCAGCTCCTTTTTTGGGACTAAAAATGTCAGTGCTGAGGGAGCTGTGCAAGTATAATCAAAGCTGGAAGATTTCCTCCATTCCTCCATCCTTCTCCTTCCCAGTGCATCCCCTCTTCTCCGCTCCCCCCACCCCGCCAGACCCCGCTGCCCCCATGTATAAACATCCCCTTAGGAACCAAAGCTGACTCTTTTGGAAAGTTTTCACAGACTTATTAGGTTGCAACCCTGAAGGTGTTTTGTTGTTTTGACCTCAGAATTTTGTGAGTCTGTGTGTGTGTGTGTGTGTGTGTGTGT